AAATTAATTAACATATTACTTTAAAATTAATTAACATATTACTTTAAAATTAATTAACATATTACTTTAAAATTAATTAACATATTACTTTAAAAAAATTAAGCCTTTTTTATATAAAAGTAAAAACTTTTACTCTACTATTATTAGATAAGAAATAGACTACTTTTTTATGCTAACTATTTATGTGTTCTAGCAGACTTGCTGCTGTGTACCTAACTTATCTAAAAAGTCTATAATTAAGTATCTTTAGCACACCCTAGTGCTACTAAGACCTATTAATTACTGTTCTAAAAGTACTACTAGAAAGGTATAAAAGCTACTTATAAATAATATGTATAAAATTACCTTCTCTGTTATAAAGCTTATCTAAAATAAGCCTAAACTCTAAAGTTTATCTACTCTTTTTTAATCCTTAATTAACTAATGCAGCACTTGTGTATTAACTTTAAGGATTTTTTTAAAGACAAGTCTAGTTATAACTAGATTATAGTTATCATTAATTACATGTTTAAATAAGCTATTTCTATTCTCTGCTATAAAATAATTAACACCTAAAGAATAGCTACCTTATTTATTTAATAAGTATACTATTTTAGCTACACACTTAAAACTATTATCTCTAACTAAAGACCTTAGTTTATATCTAGTTTCTAGTTTAAATTTTGTTAAATTTTAGGCATAAAAGTTAAGCTTTTTACTGCCTATTATAAAAAAATAGATAGCTAAATAAAGATTATAAATAAGTATATTAATTAAAGAATAAGGCCTTTTATATTTTTTTACTAAAATAACTAGAGTTCTTTACTACTCTTAATTAACTAGGCTTAAATAACTTTACTTTATATAATAATTAAAATGTTTTTATATTAAGTCTTATATAGCTCTAAACTATGTTAAAGCTAAGACTAAAAACATTTTATAGAACCTATTATAGCTACAGACAAGCTAAATTATAAAAATGCCCTAGCATTAGCAACCTACATGCACGCAGCCTAGGCATTAGCTAAGTCCTATATAGAGAAGGCCTAGGATTAGATGCAAACTATAGTTAACTGCTACTGCTAGCTAGTTAACTAAAAGGTTAGCAACATAGTCTACCTAGACACTAAGAACCTAGCTATTTAAAAACCTAGCTAAAAACTATTTAAATAATAAAAAGGCCTCTTTAAAGTACTTAAATAAGTTAGAAACTTATACTACTTAAAGCTACTTTTAAAGTTAAAGATACATAATGTTTTTACACTAAATATACTTTATAAAGACCTCTAGAATCTACTTTTAAAACAAAAACCTCTAAAACCCCCTAAAATTACTATTAATAAAGTAAAAAAGTAAAAAGTAAAAAAAATACTTACTAGTAAGCTTTACTAAAAAACACTTAAGTACTAGGTAAAATAAGTAGAACACAACTTTAATTTAGTTTAGTATAAGGCTTTAAATTTTATAAGTTCTTTTTATAAACTAAAGGCCTTTTATAATAAGCATCTAAATTAACTAGAACTTTTAAAGGCCTTATATAAGTAAATTAAGGCTTTTAAAGCTAGTATAAAAGGCATAGATTACTTAGCAAATAATAAAGTATAAAAGTAAAAAGTTAATTTATAGTTATACATAATAGTATTACAACTCTACAGACATAGCGCTATAAAGGTCTAATAGCAAGCTATTAGACACCTTTAGACTCTTCTTTTTTTTCTTTTTTACTTTTCTTTCTCTTCTCTTTTCTCTTCTTCCTCCCCTTTAGACTCTTTTTAAACCCCCTCTGCCTTATTCTTAGCTGCCTAAGAGTGCTGTAATGTCTGCCTAAAAGTTAGACACTAAAGCCTCTAAAGCTAAAACCTATAAAGCAGCTTAATGTTTTAGTAAAACAAGGCTACCTAGACACTAGCTATAGAAAGCCTAGCCTTTTAGCTCTTTATAACTTACACTACCTACACTAGGTTCTAAGCAAACTTTAAAATAGCTTTAAAGGCCCCCTTTTTATTTTTTTTACTCTTTATGTTTTAGGCTGCTGCCTATAGCTTAAAATAGCCTTAAAGGACTAGAAATTCCTTTTTATAATATAAAAAGACTTACACGCGTGTTAGTAAACTATACCCTAGCAGTATTAAACTATATTTATATAAAGTTACATTTTTTATTATATAAAGTGTAATATTTATATTTCTTTAATTTAAAAGACTAATAAGAAAACTTAACCTAAAGGCTGCAAGTAAGGGCGTAGGCAGCTTAAAAGCAGATAACTTAAAACGCCTTTAAAGAGGCTTTAGAAAAGGGGCAGAGCAGCATAGTAATTTTCTTTAATGCTATAATTAGTTAGCAGACTAAGCTATAGGATGTTAGGTGCACAATAATACCTACAAAGTAGAGATTTAGATAATAGCTAAAAAAGAAACTAACAACAGTAACTAAACTATATAAGTAAGGCAAGCAAACACTTATTACTATAAATAATAAATTTGCTATATTAATAACAACTACACTGCTAGTTACTACTAAACAAAAAACATTATAATAAAGGCATTATATTAGTATTAGGTTTTTAGTCTATTTTTTAGTAATAGAAAATTTTAGTTAAAATAGTTGTACTTATTATATTCTATCTAAATTAGTTTTAAAGCAGTTCTAAATACTTTCTAAACACTATAAATAAAGACTATTAGCCTATAGAGGGGGGGTACTGTAACAATTCTTATAAATTGTTCTATTTTAGGCTGCTTAGAACCTATCTAAAGGGTCCCTGTATTAGCCCTAACTATAACTTAACCCTGTCCTCTATAGTTACCTCTATTCCCCCTAAGTATTTAGTTGCACCTCTCCCCTTAGCTAGCTTAGTAGTTTTCTAATATCCTTTGTACAAGGCCTATAGGTGTTAATAAGATCCCCAGGTTATTAAGTCCCTACGCACTCCCATATGCCTCTGAGTGGATTCCTACCGCATTCGGACCCATTGTCTTGCCTGTGCTGTTACACTATATATATTCTTCTGCTGTGCTAGCTAGAAGATAGCTTACAGTTAACTAAGATTATCTTATGTTTTAAGAGGATACTACAGAGGCGCGTTTAGAGGGTGGATTCTAGTACGTTATAGGCTGCAGCAGCTGCACAAATTAATAGACAAGGGTTAGGCTTAATTAAGACAAGAGTAAGCTAAAGCCTGCCTTCTTTAACTAGAGATTAAGTTTGGAGTTGTTAAGCTATAGTTAAAGGTGTGGACGCGGTTTCGCGCGGCTTGGTGGGGTGCGCAGCTTCCTAATGTGCGCAGCTTACTGATAAAACATTATCTCAGCGAGCTTAGACAGTCGAGGCTTTGATTAGCGCCACACTATACTCCTTAAAGTAAAGCTGTTTTTTTACAGTCTGCTAAGTTTTTTCTAAACTAATTAAAAGCTATAATTTTTTTAAAGCTCCTCCTGTCTAAGAGACTTTAGTGCGCCTGTGTAAGCGCAACGCTTTTAATTCTTTTAACTATAGCTAGAAAATTAACTTCTTAATAATTTTTAGCCTCTTTTAGGTAGCTACAACTCTCTTACTTTCTTTATACTATTATTAGTACTATACCTATAATTAATCTTACTTTAACAGGAAAATTTTAGCTTTTATGTGTAAAAACATGTTATTTATTATTATCTTTTTACTTAACACTTACTACTTACTTACTTTACTAGCTTTATTATATCTTTTATTTTAATAACATTATTTTAAGGCTTTTCTACCTTCTAGCATTTTAATCTGCAGTATACTATAGAGTTATCCTTACTGCTTTTTATGCTCTTATTGTCTTCTCTGCTGCCTAACTTTTCTAATCCTTTGTCTAACACACACCTACTAACTACTTACTAGCCCTCTACATCTTAGGCAGATAAACTTATAAAAGTACTTTAGCTTCTAAGATAGCTTAATTTTAGTATTAGTAACTTTTTACACGCCTTCTATGTTAATTTAGTCCTATATACCTATCTATCTGCCACCTGCATATTGCATATTTATGTAGCTTTAAAATAACTATATAGTTTAAGGATACTCTTAAGAGATTAATATGCATCTAAGAATATAGTTAATATTAAGAAGCTATTATATAAACTTAACTTATTAGTAGCACACTCTTTTTTTGCAAAGTATAATATTAAGACTAAGGTAAAAATAAGTAGCTTTAATATTAGTAATTTTAATAGCTAGATTATAGTTACTGCACTAAAGTAGTCTTTATTACTTTAGAATCTAATACAAAACTATTAAAGTACTTAGTTTAGTTATAAGGCAAAAAAAGTGTTAACTAATTTTACTCTCTACTTAATTACTTTTATTATTATGTAAAAGCGTGCTAGAAAGTAATTAA